TATTTTTTTTTTTTTCTTGAAGTCAGGACCAAAGACAGTGAATGTAGAGATTTATAGTCTAGAGATTCTGAGATTTGCAGTGGGAAAAGGCCTAATTGATAGAGTATCAATTCTAAATCCTTGATGCAGAATTAAACCAATATGCTTTATTTGAGGGTCTCTACACAATTGAGCTCTGAAATTCATGTATGTCATGGGTAAAGCTTTAAGAGTTGCCTTATTTTATCAGTAAAATTTTTTATTTCACACATAAACTTTTAGGCATTGAGTTGATACTTATGCTTATAATAACTGGGAAATGTAATTAATAATTATATAACTTGTCTCAAAATGTCAAGGATAAAATGAAACTTCCTTTTAACTTCCCATTCTAAATTCTATTAATTAGAAAAGAAACTTAGCAGGAAATTCTTTTTCTTTTCTCTACAGTAGAAGTACGTTGGTTGCCCTTCACCTTTCAGGGCTCAGTTTAGAAAGTACGAAGAGTCTCTTTGGGGTCTGAGTGTAGAGACTCCTCCTTTAACAACAAGCTGGTCAACAACTGTTTACATTTAAAACATTCAATTTGGGTCTTCGACCTGCTGGTTGGGTTTACTGTCCAGCTTGTTTTTTTTATCTTTTTAGTATAGTTCAGTACATCTTGTTTGTTTGTTTGAGACATGGTCTCACTATATAGTTTGGGCTGTCCCTGAACTCACTTAGGTAGCCCAGACTGGCCTTGAACTTCTGGCAGTTCTCCTGCCTCAGCCTCCTGAGTGCTGGGATTACAGGCATGTGTCATTACCTCATCCAGGTGCATTTTGTTACCGAGCCTCAATGTCTGTTTTTAGTACAGTGTACCTTGTTTCCACAGTACAGTACATTTTTTCCAATTGTACCGTGTAGTACAGTGTTGTCTGTCCATTATAGTGCCTCACATAAATTATGCAATTAAAAGCAAGTAATCAAGTTGTAATTTCCTTTGGGCATTTCTTTGTTTTAAATATTGTAATATATATAGTATGTATAGTTCCTCATTCGGCAGCCCATCCATTCAATGACCTATTTGCAGGAATGGAACTCAGTTGTTAAATGCAGAATGTCTGCACTGTGAACACTATGGAAAATGTTGATTTTCCTTCCCTTTGGTGCCCAGCCAGTGTCCTTTTATGGCAGCTTCAGGTAGTTACTCGAGGTCCAAGATAGAACATGTCATAGTGGTCGCTCCATATACGTGGAATCACATGGTATTTGTCTGTGACGGGCTCATTTTGCTTAGCATCATGTCTTCAGAGTTTGTCCATATTGTTTCATCCTAACTAATCCAAAACAGTCAAATTAATAGAATCAGAGAGTGAAATGACTGTTCTGAGGGTTGGGGGAGGGGACAGTGGCAGGTGACCATCCCAGGGCATGAAGTTTCAATCAAGCAAGATGAGCAAGCTCTGGAGATTTCCTGAACAACACTGCGCCTCCCCACAGCTTGATGCTTTGCCCTCTGGAGTTCCAGCAAGAGTTGGGTTTCCAAGGTGGCAGTGTTAAGAGGAGACTGGGACCTTTAAGAGGAGGGCGTCAGTGGGGCTGGTGATTAGCTGTCTGGGTAGTGACCTGGAAGAGACTGATGCTGGTGTCCCGGCCTGAGTGAACTCTTACAAAAGTGAGTGGTCATAAGAGGAATACTAAGGACTCCTCCCCAGGTCTCTGCCTACCTTTCTGTCTATGTAACTTCTTCTGCAAGAGACCATTTCTCTTTGTTTATCTCTATCTTGGGACAGAGGCCAAACAGCTGGGGCTGTGTGAATCTTGGACTGTCAGGCTCCACCAACACTGCGATCCAAATAACCTTTTTTTCTTTATAATGACCCAGCCTCAAGTATTTCACTTGAGCCACAGAAAATGAACTAGGCCATACCTAGAGTCAATAGTACAGTTTTCAACGCTTAAACATTGTTAAGAGGGTAGATTTTGTGCTTTGCTTTTACCAAAATAAAAGCTTTTTTAAAACATCATGTTAGGGCCTGCCTGATAGCTCAGCACACTAAAGTGCCTGCTTAGACAGAGCGCAGTTGCCGGGGTTTGATCCCCCTCGTGCCGTGCAAGCCCCACCCCTGGAGCACACTGAGAGGACGATTGAGACTGGGCATGGTGGTGCGCACCTGTAATCCCAGCACTTGGGAGGCTGTAAGCAGCAGGATCACTACAAATCCATGCTGTGCAGTGAGACCCTGAACATCCTGTAGACCCTGCCCTAAATACAGAAAAAAAACCCAACATCATGTTAACACAGTTGCTCAACACTCAGTGTGCTACATGATGTTTCTATCAGCATTCTTCCTTGAGTAAAAGCCCATTTTCATATGAAAAAGTTGATTTGGAAGTTACTTATCATAACATAAGTAACATTTTGTGTATAATCAATAACTATCCATCCACATATGGCCTCACATTTGTTTCCTAGGGCTGCTGTAATAAATTAACAAAAGTTGTTGGCTTAAAATAGCAAAAACACATTCTTTCATGGTTCTGAAAGGTAGGAAATCTGAAATGCAGAAGTCGCTGATCTAGGGTGGTACATGCCTATAATTCTAGCAGTCAGGAGGCTGAGGCAAGAGGATTGTCTTGAGCTTGAGGCCAACTTAGTTTGCCTAGTGAGTTCAAGGCCAGCCTGAACTCCAAAACAAGACTCCATCTCAAGGAATGGAAACAACCAATCTGCCAACCAATCAGTCACAGGCTAGGGATATAGCTCGGCAGCATAAGCACCTGCCTGGCAAGCGCAAGGTCCCAAGGTTGATCCCTGGTACTGCAAAAATAAATAAATAAATAAATAAATAAATAAATAAATAAAGCCAGTCCAGGTGTTGACCTGGCTGTGGTCTCTCTGAGAGGCCTAGTGGACAAGCGTTCCTCCCCTTCCGGCTTCCGCGGCTCCAGGCACCTCCTGGCCTCTGTGGCCTTGCTCTCATCTCCCGCTTCATCTTCACAAGTGCTCTCTCCTTCTGGGCTTTTGCAAATCTCTCTCTTCTTTCAGGGGCACCTGTTGCTTGGGTCAGAACTCATGCTCAGTCCACAACAAACTCATCCAGAGTCTTAACATCTGCAGAGACTCAGTTTCCAAAAATGTTCACAGCCACAGGTCTGAAGGCTTGAACGTGTCTTTGAAGGTGCACAGCTCAACGCTGCCTGCGTTGTTGGTGGTCTCCACTGGAGAGAACCTGGTGTTGCTGTGATTTGAGCATTAGTAAGCTTATGCCAGCACGTAACAGTGGCAGGTCTATTATATAGTATGACGTATTTTCTTACCTAGATTTAGTAGAGTTTTATTGTTTTGCAGGGAACAATAGAACTGCTGATGGCCAATATGATGCTTTAATTACAAGTAATTTGGTCCCAATGTATGAAGAATTCAAAAGTAAGTATTGATCTTAAATTTCCTGGGACTCCCTGAACTTCCAAATATTTTATTGCTGTTTGTTACTGAGGTTGAAGCAATTTGTTCCGATGTTTTCAATATATAAGCAGGTACACAAGGCTTCCCGGCACTATTTCTTTTCAACTTTAAACCTGAGTGACTTGTTGCTGGAATCTTGATAATTTTTAACTCTTAACTGTAGTGAGCTATTCTCCAAACCAAACTGTACCAACATTCATCATAAGTGAGTGGAAGGTGACTATCCTCAGAATCAAGCCTGAGAAGGCAATGTGTGTGTCCCAGCTGTCATCAATACTCCTTGTCCCCTGGACAACTCAGCCATAGGAGGGAATCTGGGCATATTTTTTTTTAATCTTATTTATTTATTTATTTATTTTTGGCAGAACCAGGGATTGGATTCAGGCCCTTGCCCTTGTCAGGCAAGCATTTATTTTACTGAGCTACCTCCCCAGGCCCTGTATTTTTTAAAAATGTATTTAGTACAAGGTCTACAGGATCTCAATATGTAGATTGGACTCACAGTGATTCTCCTGTTTTCAGCATCCCAAGTGCTGGGATTACAGGCACAGTGCCATCACGCTCAGTCTCAATCTCAGTCTCAGTGTGCCCGGGGGCGTGGCCGGCACAGCACACCGGGGATCAAACCCTGGTCTCTGGGTCTGCCTAAGCAGGCGCTTTAATCTGCTGAGCTATCTGGCCAGCTCACTGGGCGTATTTTTGACTGTAATTTGAAGATGGAACTTACAGCAACAAAAGCTATCATCAACATGGCTGTTAATTAGTTAATTAATTATGGTTTTATTTTAGACAAGGCATCAGATGTCTTGCAGACTGGCCTTGGACTCACTATGTAGTCCAGGCTGAGTTGGAATTTTGCAGTGATTCTCCTGCCTCAGTGTCCCAATTGTTGGGATTACCACGTGTCCACCGCACTCGGCTAAAGGCTCTTAACTTTTATGGCATGGACTGCTTATAGAGTTACGCAATCCTCGTTGCTAACCACTGAAGTAGGATTTGATGCTATTAAGTGTACCTGAATAGGGCCAGAGAGATGGCTCAGTAGAATAAACCCTTGCCTGACAAGCACAAGGGCCTGAGTTCAATCCGAATTTCCACCAAAAAAACCAAAAAACAAAACAAAAAATCCCGTGTACCTATCTATACTAGAAAGTATTTCCAGGGGCCAGGGATACAGTTCTGCGGCACAGATATAAGTTTGTGAGTTTGATTCCCAGCACCAAGTAAAAAAGAAAATATTTCCATGTTTACCAGAAATGGGTACCTTGAATGCCTTATTCTTTTATTTTTAGAAATGTGGGACTACTTCCATAGTGTTCTTCTTGTAAAATATGCAGCAGAGAGAAATGGAGTAAATGTGGTCAGTGGACCAATATTTGACTATAATTATGATGGCCATTTTGATTCTCCAAGTGAAATTACAGAGTAAGTAATCTGGCATTTGGACCTAGAAATAGAATATCCTAAGGGGAAATACCGATATTTTAAATATGAACTCTGTCCTTGTTACATATTAACATTCAGATGTTATTGTTGATCATTTCCAACTTAGTCTATCTATGTATCTAGACAGATAAAAATATTGCAAGGAAAAATTTTTAACTAATGGACCAAAACATTTTATGCAAAGCTTAGCAAAACTTTTATTTGGAAATTTTTATTTTATTCTTTCTTTCTTTCTTTCTTTCTTTCTTTCTTTCTTTCTTTCTTTCTTTCTTGATTCAGTACCAGGGATTGAACTGGTAAACAGGGATTGCCAGGCAAGCGCTTATTCTACTGAGCTATCACTGCAGGCCCTGGAACATTTTTAACAAAGATAAGATGAGATTTTCTTAAGGTTAAGGAGACTGGGGACTCTTAGTGTGTCATCAATAAACATAGGACCAGACCAATAATAAATGAAAAACAGTAAGTCAAGGCTAAGTTTATCTTAGTAAATGTCATCAGACTAGAGAATAACAAACATATATCCTAAGAGAAAGTGTAAAATTTCAAGTAGAAGATATATCCAACTGAACTGTGTATTTTAATAGTAGACCTTCTTAGATTGTTGGATTATTTTTGAATGTAGCACAGAGTAATAGGAAGTTTCAGAGAGAAGTTTTACCATCAGTTACTTTATTATCAAAATAAAGGAGGAATCACATCCAACAGTTTAGTATCTAAATCTAGCTGATGGAAGACACTGATTTCTACTTATACCTTCTGATAAAGTAACAGGACTACAAAGGAGTGGCCTTTCCCTCCTCCACCCTGTCCTTATTTCAGTGTTTATTGATTCTAGCCTTCACCATTTTATAGGTCTAGCAAACACTTGGATAGCACTTGACGAGACTCCATGTACTTTTCTAAGCCTTTACTTTGGAATATTTCTAAAGTAATGAGTAAATATAAAATTAAACTAAGGGGGCTGGCCAAATAGCTCAGTGGATTAAAGCGCCTGCTTAGGCAGACTCAGGGGCCAGGGGTTCGATCCCCAGGTCTGCCATGCCGGCTATGCCCCTGGGGCACACTGAGACAGCGTTTGAGACTGGGCGTGGTGGCGCACACCTGTAATCCCAGCATTTGGGAGGCTGTAAACAGGCGGATCACTATGAGCCTGATCTACTCAATGAGACCCTGTACAGCCTGTACACCCTGTCCTAAACACAAAATAAATAAATAAATAAATAAATAAATAAATAAAATTAGTCTAAGGTTAAGGAGGTTGGCAACTCTCAGTGAATCATCGATCATTACAGAACCAGTGTCAGAAATGAAGAACGGTTACAGGCTAAGTTTGCCTTAGTAGCTTTCACAAGAATGTGAATAATATTGAAACCCAGATTTAATCTTCAGAATAGACACAGGGTTGGTTTCGTCGGTCCCAGCTGGGGACAGCCTCAGGGGCACGGAGCTTCAGGGCCTGTCTGGATCCCACAGCTTGTCAGCTGTAGATCTACAGTGCCAAACGTCACCTGCATCGTGGTGATGGTGTCACCACTTAGACAAGCCCTCTAAGCCCCTTTCAGGGGCTCGTGCTGATGCCTTCCTTATCTTTGGAGCTGCAGCCTTCTAAAGCACTGCCACGGATGTCTGTTGTCTGGAATCCAAACATTGCCACGCAGTTGTGAGTGCTGACAGCGCGGGGCCTGAGGGGACGCAGACAGCCCTGGAATGTGGGAGGCTGAGGCACAGCTGAGCATCGCGAGGCCTCGGGGAGGAGGCCACGTGTGTCGCGTTCCTACCCCTGCTCTGTGAGAAAACTCCACTGTGAAGCTTGACAGCAACTAAGCCAGGGCACGGTCAGGGGCATGGTGGTGATGCCTTTAATCCCAGCTCAGGGGAACCTGAGGCAGGAAGATTGCTGAGAGTTCTAGGCCAGCCTGGGCTGCGTAGTGAGACTGTCTGAAAACAGCAAGAAAAAAGAAACCCAGGAGGCAGAACTCCATGCTTTTTTATTTGTATCCAAGGCTTCTTCCATAAGGTTAGAAAGGCCAAGCTTAGATTCCCCCAGTTATAAATCTCTGTACTGGCTAATAAAAGTAAGATAAATATATAGTAAAACTTGGCTCTTCCTAACCATTACTCCCCCTCCCCCCCTTCTTGGTCTTTTTGAGACAGGGTCTGGCTATGCACTTCATGCTGGCTTTGAGCTCACTTTGTAGCCCATGCTGGTCTCGAACTCACGGTGACCTTCCTGCCTCAGCCTCCCAAGTGCTGCCATTACAGGTGTGACCACCACACACAGCTCTATTACTTTATTTTGCTATATTTCTGCTTTTGCTCTGGTATTCTTTAAGACTGTCTTAAAGACACTTGCGCCCCAAGCAGGCGTTCACCTGTCCCCTTCCTGTCACGCAGATTCGTAGGTGGCCGCGTCCCGCTCCCCACACACTACTTTGTGCTGCTCAGCAGCTGTTCGGACCTCAGCTATGACCCCACCAACTGCTCCAGCAGCCTGGACGTGCTGCCCTTTGTCCTCCCGCACCGACCCACCAACCTGGAGAGCTGTCCGGTGAGTAGCTGGGGACAGGGTTACACGGAGCCCCTTTGGGTGTCTGTACGAGTGGCAGTGTCCGAAATAGTTTTCTAGTGTTCATGGCTGGAGTTGTAAAAAAAGCGCTTTCGTCTTTGAGCCTTTTTATAATGATTGAGCTCTGTGTAATTAGTATCAAGTGTGTATCTGCTTACGTGAATGTGTATTTATGTCCGCATGTCTACTGAAGCATATAGTCCGCATGAATTCATGGTGATCCTCCTGCCTCAGCCTCCAGAGTGCTGGGATTACAGGCGTGCTCTGCCACACCTGACTGCATGTTTTATATAGTTGATCTCTATGTATTTTCTTTGTACTCACTAAGGAAAAGATGATATCATTAATTTTTTACTCTGGATGCAAATCCTCTCTCCCAAGGCTAACATTAAATCAATATTTCCTTAATGAATATGTAAATGTAAATTTGCCAACAACTTGAAAAACTGTGTCACATTTATGCACACTTGCACACACATAAGCAAATGTGCATGCGCATGCACAGGGGGATAAAGATAAATGTTTAAATAAGGTTTTAAACCATTTAAAATGGTTTAAATAAGGTTACTTAGCATTTGGCTACCTTAAAAATGTTTTGAACCAACACAACTTATGTGTAAGTGGTTACTGCAACTTAAATATATTTTTTCATAGAAAAAAATATACTACACATTGGTTTTTATTGAAATCATTCAGTAAATTTGTTGCATACTTACATATAAGCATACAAGATTATAGTAGAAACACTTTAAGACACACATAGTATACAGTGGAAATTAAAAGGGAATTAAGAATATATATATATATATATATATATATATATATATATATATCAAGGTATTTAATCATCATGTACTAAAAAAAGAAATTCATGTACAACTTTGATATATAAATGAGATATAGGTTTATAAATGGCCCAGTCCATAGATCAAGAATTATTTTAAAAGTGAAGGGAAATCAGGTGTGGTAATGCATGCTTATAATCTCACCACTTGGGAGGCTGAGGCAGGAGGATTGCCTGGATTTCAAGCCCAATCAGGACACCTAGTGAGTTCAAGATTGGTCTGAACTACGAACTGAGACTATGCCTCAAAATACAAAAATGAGCGGGTTGGGGAGATGGTTCAGTAGAATAAGTGCTTGCCTGGCAAGAGCAAGGGCCTGAGTTCAATTCCTGGTTCTGAAAAAAAAAAAAAAAATTCAAAATACAAAAACAAAACAAAAAATGAAGAAATGCCAAGTTGGGTTGTTGAATACCATTCAAAGAATTTGGTATTTGGCTGGAATGGTCAATAGAGGTTGTGTATCAAGAGGAGGAAATAAGAGCAGGCCTGAAGGAGGTGCAGAATTGAGGAGCCCAGGAAGAGGATGTGAAAAAGAGGGTGGAACTGGACTGACTGGATCTCAGAGCCAAAAGAAAAGTAAAACCCGGAGATGAACCAAGATTGTCAATGTAGATAACTTAGAAATACACAGGAGGGGGAGTAGGGGTGGTCCTCGCTTGGGGTCCTGGGCAGGCACGGGCTGTCAGGTCCAGGCTGGGTGGCCTGTCCCTTGTGTGGCTTAGCTGACGACAACTGTGCCATGTCCCTGTCAGGATGGGAGCTGAGACAGCAAAAAACAGAGTCACAGAGACCCAGGGTCTAAGTTTTGGAACTTGTGTGGAGTAAAAATGAGGTAAATGTTGAATACCTGAGGGAATCAGCTTGTCTATGTATGTAAGCAGGGTAGTTTGGACAACTGTACTGTGCATTTCTGCTGGTCTGTGAAAAGGAACAGAAAACGCTTAATTCGTTTCATCTCCTTTTTTCAATTGTTCATACTTTTTCTCTTCTTAATTTCTTCTTTTTTTTTTTTTTTTTTTTTTGGCAGAACTGGGGATTGAACTCAGACCCTTGCGCTTGCCAGGGAAGCGCTTATTCCACTGAGCCATTTTCCCAGCCCCTCTTCTTAATTTCTTATACATTTCTTTTTTCTTTCTTCCAAGTTTACATGCACATATCTGGTAATATGAATAACTGGTTGGAAGACAACACCATGCAGTACAACAAATACTGTGAAATTCATATTATGCTGTTAAGTGAAATTCTATACACTTGTAATTTTTGTTTTAATTCTAATTTGTACACTCTTAAAAAACCCCAAAATAACCCAAATACCTGAGGGACATCTGAAGATACTGAACTGGGGCGGACCTCAGGGTGACAGAATGTGCGCAGCTACACTACAGCCAGACAGCCACAGCTTGCCAGCCACGTGGGGCTCGGGGGCCCCTGCTGACTGCGGGAGTGGCCACTATCACGGGCATTCGGAGCAAACGATGTGCAGTGTCTGGCGTGGCTGCCATTGCGTGTGCTTTGTGACAGTACAATTCCCTGAACATGACAGGCTCAAGGCCTGCCAGGTGCTGAGGGCAGGGACCCTGCTCCACAGCAAAGGAGCAGCACCATCTGCAGCCCAAGCGGCCCCTTGATCTAGGCAGGATGCTACGAACCGATCACAAACCTATGAGTGAATGCAAAGGTAATGGGGAGTATCTCCATTTGGGGTTTTTGGTAAGGTGAATAATATAGTACAGGACATGTTTTATAATAGTATTTTATATAGAATCATATACTAGAAGTGCAAGAAGTCTGTCCACACACTAAATACTGAAGAATCCAGCTGAGGCCCTGTATCCTACCCCATGGCTCTGTGCCGGAAGGCCCAAAGGTCAGTGGTGAAAGCTACAAAGTCTGTCCCAGCAGGATGAAGGACCTGTGCTAGCAGGCTGAGGGATCTGAACTGGAGCTGGGAACCAACACTCAAGGGAAGCGCCAGAGCTCCCCCAAAAGTACCACAGCCATTCTCAGCAAGAGTGAGGTCCCAAGCTCCTCCAGTGATGAGGAAAGCTGAGTTGCCATCAGGAAAGCCAATGTGACAGCCTTCTCTGTAAGACTGAGCAGGGCAGCATCTTCCCCTCTGGAGCCAGGAAGCAAAGCTCAAGATGAGGACCAGAGCTCCTCCAAAGTTCATCTTGAAAGTCAGCATGACAAGGTCCTCCAGCAGAATAGCCCAAGCGAATTAGCAGCTTCCAGCAGCTCCAACAGCCTCTCCAAACAGCATCCCCAACAGTGCTTCAGGATTCTCCTGTTCTGCCTCTTACACTGCTGGCAGAAATCCTCAGGTGGACCTTCCACACCCAGCACCATGCTAGTTCAATTCAATTGGGTGTAATAAGTTGGCCTCCAATTAGAAATCCACTACAGGGAGACACCACTCATAACATCATGCATATGAACTTGAAAACTCATAAACCAGTACTGTACGTTATATATTGATGTGTGGCAAAAGTTTAAAAAATGTTGAATTCATGCTGATTCATAGTAATGTTTCTCTCTGAACCAAGAAAGGCTGGCGATTTTTCTGTAATGTTACATGCATTTTGAAAAAAAAAAAAAGCTGGTATGTGAAGCAAGTATAAAAATGGCAGAATTGAATGTAATGGTGCATGCCTGGAATCCCAGCACTGAGGAGGCTGAGGCAGGAGGATTCTCATGAGTTTGAGGTCAGCGTGAACCCCACATGGAGAGTTCAAGATCCTCCTGTAGTACATAGTGAGACCTTGTCTCAAACAATGACAAAATAAAACCTAAACTTTATGACTTTATGGTAGCCTGGGTTTCTTATATTTTATACTTTTTCTCTTTTATTAAATAACTAAATTAGTTTGTGTCAAATTAGGATTTAAGGCAGTAAAAAGGGCATCTGCTAAGTAATAAAATGACTTTCTGCCAATGAAAAATTATGCCTTGTGGAAAAACAGCCTTGTGTCTCTCTTTTGTTTTACAGGAGAATAAAACTGAAGACCTCTGGGTGGAAGAAAGATTTAAAGCACATGTCGCCCGGGTTCGTGATGTGGAGCTGCTTACTGGGCTTGACTTTTATCAGGAAAAAACACAGCCAGTCTCTGAAATTCTGCAACTGAAGACATATTTACCCACATTTGAAACTGTTATTTAATGTATAAAACAATTTTGGTGAGATGTAGATGATTGTTTTCTGTTGAAAAATCATAAAATAAAGTTATCTATTTTTCCTTGGTCTTCCTAAAAATCATGTTGCAGAAATCCAATTATCTGCCCCACTCTTTCTTTTTATTTTATTATTTTTTTATGTATTTGATACAGGGTCTCACTACGCAGCTCAGACATGCCGCCACACTGGGCCTTGGAGGCTGGCTGGGTGCAAGTGGAGCAGGGCTGGGGCAGTGTGGGGTGCTGGGACGGGAACCCGAGTCCCTGTGTTTGCCTAAACAGGCCCTTAGTCTGCTCAGCTATCTTGACAGCTGCTTCCTACTCTTTCACATGTTTGAACATACATTATTTTAAAGTTACTATTTCTTACCAGTCCTAGCCCAGGCTGGGTGAGTGTGTGGGAGAGCTTCCGGCTACCCTGCGCCGGCGGGACCTATTGGTCCCAGGCCAGGTGCAGCGCAAGTGAGACCCTCTTCCACCCGATTGGGACACCCCCGCATGACTCCATAGTACCTCCCCCACACCGCCCGCGGAGTAGAAATTTCTGCCACATTCCAGAAAGCCCCACATCCAGTCCTAACCAGGCCCAATGAATGTGTGGGAGAGCTGCTCTCTCCCCTGTACTCCACCTTGTCCCTTCCAGACTCAGCTCAGGCCTGGCATAAAGGCTTCGGTAAAACCCTGCAACTGCTATTTGTGCAGAGAATGTAAGGGACAGAACCACCCAGCTAGTCCAGGAGCAGAACATCTTGCCAGAGGGGCACAACAGGTTCACCCCAAAGGGCAGCAATAGGAAAGAGCTGAGCACAACAGCCAGACCCAAGCCAGGCACAGCTGGATAAATCCAAACTTTGTAGATCTACACCTGAACTTCAGTAGGTGCTAAGGTTATAACTGCAACAAAGATCTACAACAAAGGTCAGAAGACAGTGCTACACAAACTGACAAGGAGAAGGAACAAAATGCAATCTCAGAACCCAAGCCCACCCATAACAAGTGCAGAGGACACTAATACAGAACAAATTGGGAATCACACAGCTAAAAGCAAAGAATTAATGGCTTCTGAAATAAAGAAACAGCTGAAGAAAGGTATAGAGGAACTCAGATTGGAAATAAAAGAAGAAATCCCTGAATTAATAACATCTGCAGTAAAGAATCAAATGCAGAAACATATGGAGGAAACCCAATGCCCACCCAGAACAAGTGCAGAG